AGCTGCCGCTAGCAGGCACTGGTTGAATAGCCTTTAGTCGATTGAGGCTGTTCAACCAGACCACCTAATACACAGCTCACCCCCATTACATAAGTTGCCCAACCTACTACCCAGGTATACCCACAGAGTCCGGGAATAAGCCGCTCAGCCAGTCAACCTACAGATACATGCTATGTACCATGTTATATTGCAATGTTTGTTACCAGCTTCGAGGGGGATGCCTCCCGTTGCCGTAAACCTCTATACCCAGCGGTTACCAAGCTCTACAATTAAACTTAATTATAGTTCAGCATGTTCTCTTCCCTTCTCGGATTAGAAATGTCAATATCAGCCCACAAGTGATGTTCTCTATAAGCTTATCAGTTCATCACCGACTGACATACCCTGTACCAGCATGTTTATTACTCAAAAAATGGAAAAAAACACTTTGTTTAGCTAGCTCACCCTTACTATAAAATGTGCAGTCTTTTCTGTGTGCCATGAAAATGTACCATATGTATTCACCTCAAATAATTGTTTAGGCTGTTGTGGCAAATCATGCATGTTTGTATTCTCCTGCACACTAAAAATAAAAAATTTAAAAAGGGAGAATGGAACCTTCATTTTTTAAACCCATCACTTACCACAAGGGATGTTGCAGTAGCTGAACTAGGTACACTAACCAATATTAAAGGGGAATTATCACTTGTTTTACTGATATTATGTTTACTTCTACCCTATTTTATATGTATGAATGAGTTGTGGAAAATAAAATTTAAACAGCTCTGATACATTTGTTCTTTTCATAGAGATTTAATCTTAATTTCTTTGAAATTTCAAGACAAAGTGGGGAATATTTATGGTCAAAAGGCAGAGTTGATGCCACAATTTCCCAGCAGATGTTGGTTTTGATGACTGATGGGAGCAGGATTCACCATGCACAATATATGCCTATGGCACCTTGTTGGACATGCATTAAAATCTATATAGAAGATAGCACTGTTTTACAGGATTCTCCATAGATCCAGTTTGCACAAGTACAATAGTGATGACTGCTCCTGGCAGCAAATTAGTATGGAAGTAAGAAGATGGCACCGCCGAAGAGTGACATATCTCCAAATCAGGTATTTTTGCCAGTTAAGAATTTAGTAAATAAACCTTAATGTTTATTTTTCTCCACCTTACATGCAACGTGTGCCCTGGCTGTGCCTGAATTTAACTAGATTGTGATGTAATTTTCTACAGATGAAAAAAATAAACACAAGTTATAGGTGATTTTGCATGTTTTATTCAATTTCAAGAGACGTGATGATTCCCCTTTAAATGTGGCTATCCTTTGTAATTTAAATCTGTGCAGATATTTTAAATGCATTTAAAGAAAATAGATGATTATTTTCAAATTATAAAGTGTACATTATTTTAACAGCAAAATCCACAAACAAACACTCCCAACAGGTCCATGGCAATTACAAAATTAACTCATTGTTACATTCTAGAGTTTCCCAACAAATTTTTCTGACACAGATAACTTGCAAAACAGGGTTATTCACTGAAATGCTAGAAATGCAAGGTTGAGTTCAACATTTGGTCCAAAATTGCCAATTTGGAAAAACCGTCAAAGTTAAAGGACCACTATAGGCACCCAGACCACTTCAGCTCAATTAAGTGGTCTGGGTGCCAGGTGCAGCTAGGGTTAACACTGCTATGTTTACATATGGGTTAATCCAGCCTCTAGTGGCTGTCTCATTGACAGCCGCTAGAGGCGCTTCTCACTGTGATTTTCACAGTGAGAAGACGCCAGCGTCCATAGGAAAGCATGAGGGTGGGGCACCCTTAGGGCACTATAGTGCCAGGAAAACGAGTTTGTTTTCCTGGCACTATAGTGGTCCTTTAATTCTGTGTTATCTTTGGCTATTGTGGCCTTGAGTTTGAAATTCACTTTGCATTCCAGCAAGTCTCACTTTAGTGAGATAATAATAACCCTGATTTCAGCATTGCCATTAATAAAATATTAAATACCATAGGGTTACCAGAGAACAGGGGTTGCCAGAGGTTGCCAGAGGTAGACCCTCTGGCTTCTGATGTAGCACTACAACTCCTATCATGAATTACAAGCTTTAACTCTGCCAGATGAGAATCTAGATTGGGTCA